TCCAACAAGATGGATTGACAAAATGGCTGAAACAATGGGCTGAAACATAACAAGTTTGAGCATGATGGGCCAGGACCTTTCAGTGTTGCATTTTGTTGCATAGGATCACTAAGAGTTGGAACAGAGTCAATAGCACCTTGGGACTTGGCTAGCTATATCAATAGTTTGATATAGATAATTTTATTCCTAAATGCTGAAAAAGCATGTGATAAAAATTCAACATCCATTCTCGATTTTAACAGACTCTAAAGTGTCAGCTAGTGAGTGGTGTTGGGACAGCTGAATAACCATTTGAAAAAATTAAATAAAATTGGGTTAGCAAAGAAGAGGAAGACCCTTGGCTGCAACCATTGGCTCTAGCACAGAAACAATTCTGAGGCTGGTGTAGGACTGAGCAGTGTTTCGTTCTATTGTACACAGGGTCACTGTGAGTTGGAAAAGACTCAACAGCACTTAACAACAGCAATTCACAACTCACTCCCTACAGCAAAGTACATTCCAGATGGAGTAAATAATAAATATATAAAAATGAAAATATATATGTACTTGAAGAAGCCTTGATAAATTCCATAGTGTGAACAGTTTTTCCAAGTATAAAACCATACCCAGAAGCTATGAAAGAGAAAATGTATAAATTCAACTATATAAAAATCAAAAATGAAAAAATGTAGCATATCCTCCATCTAGGTCTATACAATTCTGATGATGGTATTTCCATCTCTCTAATCCTTCCACTGAAGAGGTCGATGTGCTTCGATTTATACTGTCTAAACAGCAGTTTTGCTTCCCTCAAGGGCTTAAAAATTCTGTTCCTTTTAAATGTTCTTTGAGATTGGAGAACAAAAAGAAGTCTGAAGGTACAAGATCAGGGTTGTAAGGTGGATGAGGTAAGGCATCCCAATAAAATTCTCCTAGAACAGTCGTTAGTGCCCTTGAAGAATGAGTAGGTGCATTGTTGTGATGGAAAAAATTTCCCTTGACTTAACTTTGCTGGCCTTTCTTTCACCAACTTAGTTTTTCATTTTCCGCCAACCTTAAGGTCAGTGGTTCGAAACTACCAGCTGCTCCGCGGGAGAAAGATGAGGCTTTCTACTCCCGTAAAGATTTATACCCTCGGAAACCCTGTACAGGGTCGCTATGGGTCGGAACCGACTCGACGGCACTTAACAACAACAACAACAACATCGTCATAATAAATTCCCATGATTGTCCTGTGTCCTTTGGGAATCTACCAAGATTACTCCTTTGGAAAGCCCCCAAAACAGTCACCACAACCTTCTAAGCTAACCTTTCTGCCTTAAATTGAACTGGCACATTAGATCTCTTGAAAGCCACTGTTTTGAATGGACCTTTTTTGAAGGTATCTTAAAAAGCGTAAGACAAGTGTAACTTGTCTGCAACCACCCACTGATGGCAGAGACGTGTTTAAACATATTTTGTTTGGAATAAACCTCTGTATATATGAACTGGAACCTTAGTAGCAATGCTATTTTAATTTACCTTTGTAGCATAGATGATCAATAGTTATGATGGATTGTTAATAGAGTCACTGAAGAGGGAGGCAGGATATGCTTGCTCATTTCCCGCTTTTGCCATATAAAAGAGCAATGTAATTTAGCAGAATTCACCAAGGACAGTGTGGTGCTATAGGATAAGCACTACACTAACTACAAGATCAGCAATTCAAGTCCATCAGCCACTCTTTGGGGCTACTATGAGTCAGAGGAACTCTGGTAGCGTAGCGGTTATGAATCATGCTGCTAATCACAAGGTTGGCAGTTTGAAACTACCAGCTGTTCCATGGGAGAAAGATGAGGCTTTCTGCTCCTGTAAAGATTTGCAGCCTCAGAAATCCTGTGCAGGGTCACTATAAGTCGGAATTGACTCCACGGTACTTAACAACAACAATGAGTCAGAACCCACTTGATGGCACTTAACAATTATAAGCCTAGGAGACAGGAAATTCTGTGTGTGCTGTTGGGTTGATTCCGACTCATCAACTCCTATATGACAGAGTAGAACTGCTTCAGAGGGTTTCCTAGACTATACTGTTTATGAACGTTAGGTGTTTTCTCCTATGAAGCCTCTTGTGGTAAGTTTGAACTGCTGAACTTCTGGTTAGCAGACAAGAACTTAACCACTGTGCCACCATTGCTCCTTAGATCAAAATTGTCCTTCCTGTTATTAAGTGCCTTCGAGTCGGTTCCGTATGAGGTTTCTGAGGAGCAGTTGGTAAGTATGAATGACCAACGTTGTGATTAGCAGTCCTACAGTGCCACAGCAGGACCCTAGACAATAATCATTGTTGTTGCTAGGTGCCATCAGGTCAGTAACAACTAATAGCAACCCTGTGTAGTTTTCCAAGACCAGCTGGTGGTTTTGAACCACTGTCCGTTTGGTTAGCAGTCCAGTGCTTATCCTACAGCACCACATAAGGACCATAATTGGGAGGAAGAAAAGGAGATAGGAAAGGGAGGATAGTGGCGAATGGGAGGGAAGGAAAGAAGGATGTGAGTAATCACAAGAGCACTGGAGATAATGACCATTTTCTTGGAGGAATACAGAGGTGTGGGCTATGAATATCATGTGGTCATTGCTTCTTTTGTCACAGCTGTAGAATTTCTAGAAAAGGGAACATCGAGATCATAGACCCAATCCCTTGTGGTACAAGGGAAGTACTAGAAATCCTGAGACAGCCAGTGTTAGAGATGGAGACAGAATTGGTTTCTGAGGACAGGCACTGCTTACTACATCTTGCTATTGGCTCCAGATAATTTATCTCCATGGAAACCTTTGAAGATTGTAAAGATGCAGAGGATGTGGGAAAAAAGAACCTCCCTCTGAGCATGATTTATTTCCTTTCTATCTTTTTCATTTTTCCTCTCATCTCTATTTATAAGCTCCTGTTTCCTCTTCCTCATTCCATCTTTCCCTCCTTTTCATGGTTTTCACTCACAAGGATCCTTCCCAGCCAAGCATACCACTCCCTCCCACCCCCAAAACACACACACACACACACATACACACATCATCTATTACTTAGCATCAGGCTGGTTTCTGATGACCAAAAACCAAAACCAAACCTTCACAATTGACTCTGACGGGGCATCAGGGTTCTACTAACAGCAGAAAGCATCTCATTTGGTTCCTGAAAAATACCTATGACCATTGTTGTTGTTGTTGTTGTGAAGTGCCATCGAGTCGATTCTGACCCACAGCGACCCTGTATAGGGTTTCCAAGGAGCAGCTAGTGAGCTAGAATGGCCAACCTTGCAGTTCAAATGGCTTTGCAGTCTGGCGCATTAACCCACAGCGCCACAGGACTCCATTGAAAGACCAGAAATCACTATGGAAACACAGTCCAAAACTCTCCTTCTCCTGGGTCCTTAATTCTTTTCTGAAATGTTTACAAGAGGTTGCTATGAAAATGGCTAATTTCCTGGTGCAGGTACAGCACAAATATCCATACCTCACAGGAGGAAGGAACCTTCCCGCATAATTTATGTCATAGGTGGGCTAACAACATCTCTTAATCACAGTACACAATTGTGTTGCAGCACACATTTTGTTTGAAGTGCCAACAAATCTCTGGGCTGAGTGGGTACCAGTAGAAATTGTTTTTATGGCATTCAGGACTGGGCTGTTTACCTGCAGAAGTAGAAAGGGATAGTTGAGCGTGATGGTCTTGTATTCCGATATGTGGGTGGTCCTGTCTCCTGTTCATAGAATAGATTGAGGGCAACCTGGAGAAATTCCTGTTTGCTCAGTAGTTCCTGGTGGGGCTCGACCAACAGAGCTAGTCTTTTGCTGTCCGTTTGGAGCTACCAGAGGAAGCCTTTATCACCGGATAGTCCCTCTGAGAAGATACCCCAGAGATGGTGGGAGGTGAGATAGCATGGGAGTTATACCGGATTCTTTCCCGAAATGTGTACAGGAGCGTCTGACAGGTGGCAGACAGAGCCGTGGCGCACGCTAAAAGGAAAAGGCTCACACTGTGGAGACTTGGGTGTGCACGTGCGTGCCCAGCCTGCGCTTCTGGCTCCAAGTAAGGTGCGTCCACCGACGTCTGAAAGTGCCTGAGACAACACTAACGAGGGAAAATAAACTCCAGCCTTTTCTAGCCTCCATTGTCACAGCCTACCCCAAATTGGAGTCAGGAGATGGGGGCGGGCAACAGGATTTCATGTAGGTAGCCGCGATAGAATAGGGGCTGCTGGAAAAGAAGCCGAGACCAGAAAGGTCCGCGGATCCGAACCCCTGTGCTGACAATAGCGTCAAAAGCTGCTGTCTCCTCTCCCCCACGGTCTCGAGGACAGACCAAGAGTCGCCCCTCTAAACGCGCAGACTCTCGGAAGGGAAGGAGAGCAGCGTCCCTGTCGTGAAAAGGGGAGACACCCAGGAGGTGTTTATCTCCACAAGGGTCAGGCACCGCCCCCGAATTGCGAGCTGCGCTGTGGGCCCGAGGTTTGGAATGCGCCTGGCGGAGGAGCCCAGGCCTCCGGCCGCCTTGCCACCTCCGCCCTCAGCGCACGCAGGCACTGCGCTGCGCGTCCCCCGGCGCGCGGGCAGAGCATCCCTCCACCCACCTTCCTGGAGGCGGCGCCCGAGACCAGATTGCCCAACCCCGCAGATTAAACCTCTGCGCTCACCTAGCCGGGAGAAGCTTGGGGCGCCGGGAAAGCGGAATCGGGACTACTTGCTTTTCTCGCCTTTATGACTGCATTTTCCATCTTTCTAAATGTTAGGCACTACGTTCAGAAAGCTGTCAGATCCAGTCTTTAAAATAATCCCCTGCAGGGCGTGGCAGGCGTCTGTTTTCGGAACAGCGCAGGAGAGTTGGCCTTTGCTGCGAATGGCCCTTGCAGGAGCGTGAGGACGAGTGTGAGGGCCGAACGGCCTCCGGACGAGGTGCCTTTACAAAAGTGTTCGTATCAGCAGTACAAACAATTTTGCTCTGTTTTGTTTTTCCTTATACTGAATAATTAAAATTTTTATGTGAAATGCTATTTTGGTTAAAAGAAGAAATGGGCCCCCAGGAACTCACTCGGCGACTGGCTACCGTGATCACGCATGTCGGTAAATGAAGCTTTTCTCTCTCTTGCGTTTTGTGAATTGGGGATGGAGGCATAGTCTCTGGGGCAGCATCTTCTCTCTTTGGTCACCTGCAACCCAGGGGAGCGATCCCAGAGTGGGGCTATAACATTCACCCATTGGAGCTCGGCCCAAGGGAGGCTACGGAGCCCGGCTCTTCACTAGGCGGGTGCCAAGTTGATATGATTCTTAACTGAGGACTGCTAGGGGGTTAGAAATACGTTACTCCCTTCTGACCACAGACAGGGTTGAGGAGTTGTTTAATGATAGGCAGGGTTGAGGAGTTGTTTAATGATATAGAAAAATCAGTGGGTATGTAAGGGGGAAATAGGGAACAAATGCCAGTATGTTCCAGCAGAAATTATTGCTAATCCACTGAAGGCCTGTCTATAAGACCGTGAAGGGGATGTACACTATGTTAGACAGAGGGCTACGGTGTCTTCTGTTAAAGGTACTACCTGGAGGTGTTTGCAAGCTCCAGTGAACTCTAAAAAAAGCTTTCCACAAGTCCAAGGAAACTGAACAATATTAATTCTCTCCCATGAATTAAAATGGGGTACACAAAGCCCATTTGCATTCCTTACTCCTGCTATAGGGACTGCTTACACGTTGGGCTGCTAACTGCCAGGTCTGTCTTTCGAATCCACCAGCTGCTCTACAAGAGAAAAATGAAGCTTTCTGCTCCCATAGAGATTTACAGCCTTGGAAACCCTATCCTGGCTCGCTATGAGTTAGAAACAACTCAACAGAATGCAGCAGCAGCAGTAGAAAGACAAACCTTATATAGGAAACGAAAGACTTTTAAGTGGTTACAGTGAATTCCTTCTTAGCGTTTCCTTCCCCTGCTGCTTTCCTAGGTCTCTCCCAATAAAGATGCTCATACATATTCAGACCCTTGGGTTGAACTGACTGGAATTATTAGGATCATCTTTACTGTTGCTCATATCACTTGGAGATCTTCTGTGAGCACAAATTGTGTTTCTTGGTTAAAGTGAGGACGTTTTTTGCCTTAGTTTCTCATACATTTGTTAAAATTGCCTGATAGGTATTTGTAGTTAACTCTTGCTTCAATCAGTGTGCCCCCCGCTGCTTTTTGAGCACCCTCGTTCAATGTGCTTGATGCCATTATGCACATCTGGATACACCACAGGGATATACTTTGCAAAGATGATTTCTATGAAAAGGTCTTTTATTTGGTTTTGTTCAAAACTTTTCATTGTGAGTTGAGTGAAGAGCTACGGAGTAAATCATCAGTTTTACATTCAGTAAATTGTACAGTTCGTTTAATCTCACAACGATTGCAGTCTCCTCAATGTAACTTATTCTACTTCCTCCCTGTTTTTGGTTCTTCTTTCTCCTCCTTTCCCAGCGTTTCTGAGCCTTGCCCTAGGGTAAATGCTGCCCTTTTTGATCTTGAATAAAGTATGTTGTGCATATCTCACTACTGTTGTTGTTCCCCTCTCCCCCATATACCAATCTAGTGTGTGGCTAGAAATTGAGCCACAGGGTGAGTTCAGTCCCACATCTGAAGTTTGACCAAGGGCCACAGTCTTGGGGCTCAACCAGTTCCTATCAGACCGGCGAACTTAATCTTTTGCATGATTTTGAGTTTTCTGTATTTCCCCCCACTCAATCCAGGACCTTCTAATGTGATGCTTTTCAGAGCAGTTGGTAGTGGTAGCCAGGCCCCATCCAGTTTTTAAGGATTCTAGGTCATAGAGACTGATGGTCACGTGATCCATCAGTCCACTGGACGAATTGTTTCTAAGTGACTTAAATTTTCATCACTTTTCTTTCCTCCGGACAAGAAGAGACCAATAAGTTGTAATTACAACTTAGATGTTTGTTGATCATGAGATTTTTTGAGTCGCTACTCACCAAAACAGAATGTAAAACATTGTCTTTGTGGACTATGTTATGCCAATTGACCATGGTGTCCCCCGAGACTATAGTCCTGAACTTCCAGGCCCAGCAACCGATTCCGTTGAGGTGTTTGGTAATGTCTAAGAATTTGAAAAGGTCCAGTTTTGATTAATCAGTTTTTAGAAGATATTTCTGGTGCCAAATGTAGTTACTTAAACTGCCTTTTCGTTAAGACAAGAGGTCAGAATGATCTTACCAGGGAATGCTGAATGTGCAATATGGTAAGATAAAATAAGAAAAGAACTATGAATAAAGCAGAATTTAGGTTTTGAAATATGTTGAATACTGAAATGATTGTACCAACTTCCATCATGTGCATGAAATTGCTATGTAGAGAAAGAGTAGTGGACTTGTGGGTTTGAATCCTTCCCTGGTCAAGTCATTTAACCTCTGGGTGACCATTTCCTCATGTTGAAAAATGGAAATTTTTAAAGTACTTCCCTTTCCACCTCCAAGGCTATATGTGATGATAAATATGGGAAAAAGCTCTGTCTAAACTGACATTCAATTATTGGTCATATCCCTGATCCTTCTGCCACTATAGATATTGGACAGATCACTGGGCTTTACACCTATTAAATGAGGAGCTTGACCTGGATGACTATGAAGGTAGTAGTGCTTGACAGCTAACCAGAAAATCAGTGGTTCGAACCCACTGGCTATTCCTTTGCAGAAGAAAGATGTGGAAGGCTGCTTCTGTAAAGATTTATAGTCTTGGAAATCCTGTAGGGCAATTCTACTCTGGCCTGTAGGGTTGCTTTGATCAGAACAGGCTTGACTGCAACAGATTAGCAGGCTCTGAATGTAGGATATTCTGAGTGTAGGCACTATTCCTTGACTAATCCCAGGCTGCCCTTAGGGCCCAAGCTATAGCATTTTCTTGCCCACTTTGTTCCCTCCTCCCTTCTGTAGGCAGCTCCACACAGGATGCAAATATAATTTGCCGTTGTTTCTGTCAGAAAGTTCCTAATGACTTCTGATGTTTGTGTGTCTGCAGCATTCTGTCTCCTCATATATAATCTCACAAATTTGTGACATAGATGAGGTGTACATCATGATCTCCATTTTACAAGGAAGGAACTAAAATTCTGAGAAGCTCATCTTTTAAGGTTTCAAGGGTAATGAGTCAGGCCGGGGGCCCAGAGAGCTCTTTTGACACCCTGGTGGAATTTTGTTGAGGAGTCTTCAATCCTGCAACAGTCTCTGCCATCATGGTGCACTGTGGGCCAGTGGACTGGCTGCTGGGGTGGATTGTCTTTGTGCTTAGCTGTTTTCAGGCATTGCCATTGTAGGACAGCCTCTGGAGTGTGTGCTCATGAGTTGGAGTAGGGTTGGGAAGTGCTTGGAGCAGGGTTGTGGGTTAGAACACTCCCTTGGTCCTATCCTAACTACTCATCTGGTGATATCCCAGTACTCCCATATTTGCTCTGCCATTTCTGTTCCCTAGCCAGCTCCTCCTCCAGATGGGGTTTCTGCCCTTTCTGAAGTCCTATGTTGTTGTTACCTGCCTTTGAGTCGTCCCGACTCATGGGAATCCCATAGACAATGGAGTGGAACACTGCCTGGTCCTGCCATATCCTCATGATCACTTGTGGACCAGACCATTGAGATCTACAGGGTTTACAATGACTGATTTTTTTGAAAGTAGCTCAGCAGACCTTTCTTCTTAGTTCATCTTAGTCCAGAAGCTCAGTTGAGATTTATTCAATGGCATAACAACACAGAAACCTCCACTGATGGACTGCACATGATGTGCATTGGCCAGGAATTCTCACCTGCATGGAAGGTGAAAATTCTACCACTGAGTTCCTTACATTTGACAATTTAGTCATCCATTCGCTGCCTCCTTGCCTACCTCACACCACATTCCCATAAGCATCTGGGTCTTGTTAAGTTACAGAAATACTTTGCAGGTCTCTTTATGCTTATTCCCATTAATAAATATCTCAAGACTGTATTTCCTCATGATTGTTACGCAAGTCTCCTGACTTTCCTAAATCTATCTCTAATCTATACCAGGAATTAAAAAAAAAAAAAAGTGTAGTACTTCTGTATTCCAAAATCTTTAATGATATTCTAAAACTAGTAATCCATTTTCCAAGGCTGGAATGCAAGCAGTTTACAAATTGGGCACTGATTTGGCTTCTTAGTGCCACTGTAACAGAAATATCATAAGGGGAGAACTTTTAATGAACATACATTTATTTTCTCAAAGTTTAGGAGGCTGGATGTCCAAACTCGGGGCACTGGCTCTCTTGCTCTCAGTTGCTCTAGCTCAGGCATTCTTTGGGGTCCTTGGTGGTCTCCATGTGTCATCTAGGTTTTCCTCATTTGTGCTTGCTAGTCTCTGTGCCCAGTCAGCTCTTAGAATATATCAGAAGTTATTACATTTAAGATATACCTGCACTGACATTAACATTTCATAGAAAATCTTTGTCCCTAATGAGATTACATCCATTGATATAAGGGTTAGATTTCCAGGAACATAATTCAATACATAACAGATACCCTTCTAGCTTTATCCCCTTAATACTTGATACTTCTACTTCAATGATCAATTTAAGGTGGCCTGATGGCACTGTAGAATAAGCACTGCTCACCACCAGATCACCAGTTCAAATCCACTAGTCAATTTTGGGTAGAAAGAAGAGACTTTCTGCTCTGGTAAAGATTTACTGCCTTGGAAACCTGAAGGAGCAGTTCTACTGTGTCCTGTGGTTGCTGTGACTAGGAATTGGCTCAATGGCTGTGGGTGTCATGGTCAACTTGAACTATTCCATTCTCCAGCTGTGTCCCACTCACCTCTTAAACTCTTATTTATGTTTTTCCCTCCACTTGGAATGACGTTCTTCATAATTTTTCATCACAGAAAAGATGCTGCCTCCTCCAAATGTCTTTGTTGTTTTTGTTTTTTAAATCCTGCCACTGGGTTGGATGATGGCTGCCTCTGAATTCCAAAAGCAAGCTTTGTTCTCATGTGATACCTCTCATACTCCCCCACTGTGTTGTGGTTATTTTTGTGTTTGTCTTATCTCTGTTCCTAGACTCTTTCTTACTTATCC